CCAAGGAAGACGCAAGGAGCAGCACGAGGGGACAGCTTGTCCGCAGACAAGTCGCGGACAAACGCCCGAGATCCCCAGACACGGAACGCAGACGCATCGCCAACCTTCCCCGTCCACAGCAAGGCTGGGGAGGTCTCCGGCATGGAGACCCTGGGGTGAAGGTTGATCTGATGCGCCGCGTACCGAACCGCAAACGGCCACAGAAAATGGGGGGCAGCCGCATGCATCATGGACGTACGGGCGACGTCCATGACCATGCCAATGCGGCGCTCAGCAATCCCATTTTGCTGTGGAGAGTCCGGAAGCGTGAAGGTCTGGCGGATGCCTCGTGCACGACAGTAGGCTCGCAGAAGGCCAGAGGAGAACTCTCCACCTCGGTCAGAGTGCAGACGCAGAACAGGAAAGTCCGAGCCGAAGCTCCTCCTGAGCTGGAGACGAGCTGCGCGGATCCAGTCGATCAACACCTCAGTGACATCACCCTTGCTGCGCAAGGGGAAGACTGTGGTGTAACGCGAGTAGTCGTCAACCACCAGCAGGAAGTAGCGCTCGTGGCCCTGTCCACGGACGCGGGCCGGGCCCCACACGTCCATGTGAAGCGTCTGCAGCGGGGCCTCTGTCGGAGGAAACTGGGAGGAGTGAGGGGCAGCCCGCTGCCGCCCCTCGACACAGGGGACGCAGGTAGGGCCAGGCCCCGGAGGAAGGGGAGGGAGGGACCGGGGAAGACCAGAGACAAGGACACGGGAGGCCATGCCTCGGAGACGAAGCAGGGAGGGGTGACCAAGGCGGTGGTGCCAGAGGAGAGTCTCGTGAGACAGGAGGCGACACGAACAGGGGGCAGACTCAGGACCAGACCTGGACGCTGCAGCAAACACCTGACCCGACGCAGCTACCTGACCAGACGCAGTGACTGGAGGAGACGCAGTGGTCAGGGTGTACAGGCTCGACCCCGGCCGACGGGTAAACGTGGCCAGGTGTCGGCCAGTCCGAGCGTCCGTGCAGTGGGTCACCCGCTGACTCGCAGGAGTGAACTGGTGAACCCCCGCATCCTGTAGGTCAGCACCACTCACCAAGTTCGTAGAGAACGAGGGGAGGTAAAGACCAGACAGGGTGCCAGAGGGGGCCGCCGGACACGGGAGGACAGTGGAGAAGTGAGCAAGGACAGGACCCCCAGAGGGGTCTGCCAGAGAGACTGCAACTGGCCGGCCAAGCGGCGTGAGTGTGGTGCGGTCTCGAAAGAAGGAGCGAGAAGCCCCCGAGTCAAGGGTGAAGGTGTGGGAGGCCGAAGCCGACGCAGAACCTGAGAGAGAAGACTCACCAGCACCTGAGGGAGCAGACGCACCTAGAGCAGCAGCCTCGCTAGCACCTAGAGCAGCAGCCTCACCAGTACCTAGAGCAGCAGTCTCAATGCCCGGGTCGGGCGGAAAACACTGGTAACAGTCACCCTCATCACTAATAGTCACAGTATACATGGCAGCAAGAATAGCATCAAAGTCAAGGTCAAAGACAGCTACACCCGCCCTAGACAGCTCACCCCAGCGGGGGATCTCAGTGGCCTCAGGGAACTGGTGACGCCAAGCGTCCGTCAGGCGGCCAAAGCAGCGCTGGGTGGAGTGCGCACCCCCGCACTGGTCACCCGCGCGGTCGCCGGTGCGGAGGACGTAGGTGCACGGACCAGTACCCCAACCCCTCTGGCGTGCAGTGTACCACTTACGGAGCTGCTGAGGGGAGGGGATGTCACGAGTGCGCTGCTGCTGCTGCTGCTGCTGCTGCTGCTGGCGCTGACCACCACCGGAGCCGACCCTCTGCGCAGCGCCACCCCGACCAGCTCCACCTCCTCCGCCGCCTCCTCCTCCACCGCCGCCACCTCCGCTCCCACCGCCACCGCCGCCTCCGCCTCCGCCTCCACTGCCGCCACCGACACCTCCACCCCCGCCACCACCCCCACCGCCACCCCCACCCCCTCCACCGCCTCCACCTCCGCCTCCACCGCCCCCGCTAGCTCCTCCAGTGCCCCTGCCCCCCTTGCCCTTGCCAGGGCGACGTCTCCCGCTAGGGGTAGACGCCGCACCGACCGACTCAAGCCCAACGAGGTCGGCCGCAGCAGCAGAGGCAACAGAGGGCAAAAGGGGGGAGGGGGAACACCCCTCAAAGATGGGGGTGCGAGGGTCACCACGAGAGGCTCCTACAGCGACTATGCTCTTCTCTGCTGCTAGGAGGGACTTCTCGAGGAGGTCAACGGTGAGAGTGGTGGGGCAAACTGAGAGGAAGTGGTCCCTGACTACGCGAAGGGAGTCAGGGAGCCGGATGACTATGTAGTAGAGGGTGATGTACATGGGGGGGGGGTTCTTGGCGCAGAACTCAGCAGGAAGCGCAGCGCGGTAGCGAGTGTCACTAGTGCGGAGGTGCGTAATGAGGTCAGCGACTGTGGGAAAGGCAGCAAGGTCAGGGAAGAGGTACGGTAGCATGAGGCGGCTCAGTGCAGCAGTGGCAGGGGAGGAGTAGCGCGCAACTACAGCGTCGTACAAGGTCTGAGCACTCTTGTACTGGCTAAAGTGCGCACGCTCAGAGGTAGGCAGGTGGCGACGCACAGCAAGACGTGCAGCAGCATCACGCGTGGCCCACTGTGAGCGAACAGTGGCGTCAGCATCAGCAGCGGGGGCAGGAGAGGCACCAGAAGTGAGGTCAAAGAGGGAGAGGCCGTCTGCCCTGTCGCACTGTAAGAAAAGCTGCCGGTCATCTATCCAGACATCAAAGTCAATGGCCCGACCCTCAGCGTCAAAAGCGAGGACACTAGGGGTAGCCATGACAGTAGTAGACTAGCAGCGCAAACAGTAGGGTGAGGGCAGTGCTGTGAAAGGGGCGCTGCTCTTACCGGACAGGGCGGCTCGGGTGGCTCGGCTGCAGGGCGGCTCGGCGGCTCGGCTGCTGGGCGGCTCGGCGGCTCGGCGGCTCGGTTGCTGGGCGGCTCGGCGGCTCGGCTGCTGGGCGGCTCGGTGGCTCGGCTGCTGGGCGGCTCGGCTGCTGGGCGGTTCGGCGGCTGGGCGGCTCGGCTGCTGGGCGGCTCGGCGGCTCGGCGGCTTGGCCGTTCGGCTGCGACTGCTGCTGCAGAGACGGCGGCGGCTGCTGCCTCAGGGACGGCAGCGGCCGGCCGCTAGGGGCCGCGTCAGGTGCAGGAGAGGGCCGCGTCAGGGGCGGCGTAGGGGCCGCGGCAGGGGCGGCGAAGGGGCCGCGTCAGGGGCCGCGTCAGGGGCCGCGGCAGGGGCCGCGGCAGGGGCCGCGTCAGGGGCCGCGTCAGGGGCCACGGCAGGGGCCGCGGCAGGGGCCGCGTCAGGGGCCGCGTCAGGGGCCGCGTCAGGGGCGGCGTCAGGGGCCGCGTCAGGGGCCGCGTCAGGGGCCTCGTCAGGGGCCGCGGCAGGGGCCGCGTCAGGGGCCGCGTCAGGGGCCTCGTCAGGGGCCGCGGCAGGGGCCGCGTCAGGGGCGGCGTCAGGGGCGGCGTAGGGGCCGCGGTAGTGGCGGCGGAGGGGCCGCGTCAGGGGCCGCGTCAGGGGCCGCCTCAGGGGCAGCGTAGGGGCCGCGTAGGGGCCGCGTCAGGGGCCGCGGCAGGGGCCGCGTCAGGGGCTGCGTAGGGGCCGCGTCAGGGGCCGCGTTGGGGCCGCGTCAGGGGCCGCGTTGGGGCCGCGTCAGGGGGCGCGTAGGGGCCACGTCAGGGGCCGCGTTGGGGCCGCGTCAGAGGCCGCGTAGGGGCCGCGTCAGGGGCGACGTAGGGGCCGGGTAGGGGCCGCGTAGGGGCCGCGTAGGGGCCGCGTAGGGGTCGCGTAGGGGCCGCTAGGGGGGGGGGCGCTAAAAAAAAAATTAGGGCAGGGGCGCAATGCGCGTCGGGCAGCTAAAAAAAAAAATTCGTTATGGTGGGCCCTTAGGAAGGAACGGTCCCATGTAGGAACCCGCTCTATACCATGTGAATTAAGAAATCAGGAATGAGAATGACTAAGGGAAAGTTGGGTACAAATACAAACCCTAGAAAACTCTACCCCATATGTGCTACCCCACTATAGCCTACAGTAGCTCTGTCATATAAATCTGACACGTTGGCACACCGCGGACTTGCAACATTGGCAAGCCGCGACTCTGCTCTGCTGGAGCGCGGTCGACCAAGTCATTCTGGCACGCGGTCGACCGTGCTGCGCTGGCAGTCGACCAGCAGCCTTGCTAGGTCTGATGTAGTCTGTGTTGCCAATGTTGATGCAATTATTCTGAACTTTTGTTGTCATGTTTTCCTAGTGAAACTCTTGCCAATTTTCCCCGTGAACTAGCAAGCATTGTCAGCACTTGGAAACGACTAAGGAACGAACGAACGCAGAGATCACACGAGCATCCGTGCCTAACCCATAGTCTAGCTCCCGTTGCACTAGTTATCTCCACAGCCTCCACGTCAGCAGCTCTCAGAACAGTTGGGTAGACACGAGGCACGAGGCAGGGTGGAAAGGGAAGGAGAGAACAGTTGCCGACGACGAGGAAAAGAGCATAATGCATTTGGGTTAGGGGCAAAGGAGACAACAGGGAAAACAGGGTAGGGAGATCAAGGCAAGGGGATCGGGGCAGGGGGATCAGGTCAGGGGGAACAGGGCAGGGGGGGTCCGGGCGGGGGATCAGAGCAGGGAGATCAGAGCAGGGAGATCAAACCAGGGAGACGAGGGCAGGGGAGATTCCCATGGCACAAAGAACACACCTGGAACGCGGCCTTCTGGATACTCTTGCAGGCAGCAATCTCGGTGCATCAGCTCCTCCCTCTCCTATGCTGCTGCGGTTGCGCGTCCACAGACGGTTGTTTTCCGAGGCTCAACCGAGGCTGCAGGCTCGGACCGAGAGCAGACTCCGAGGCTTGGAATCGGAGGTTTGCGTCATGAGGTGCTGATTGAAAGCTGTTGACGCATCCAATCAGTGAATAGGCTGGGCTGAATGCATTGACTTCATTGACTGCAATCTCTGCATCGAGCCTGTTTCTAGGTGTCGTAAGCATGGAATGCTTCGAATGAGTTGACTTGGTTGACCTGGTTGACTCCAGGTGGCAATGCGGGCGAATTGAGCCCATCAGGAGCATCGTCGAACCACTTCTGCATCAGCCGCTGCCGGAGCTTCCGCCCCAGCACCAATGGCGTTGGTGCCGTTTGAGCCGTTGACGCTGCTGCTACTTCGTTGATCCAATCATCAAGCGCCACGTCCGCTGCTCCACCCTCAACAAAAGACCCCCGGGGAACCGTAAGAAACGGCTCTCCGTCAATTGCGCTGTATCGAGCCGCGACTGCGGGAGGAGACATGAGGAACGCGTGCGGCCACGCGGAGGAGGATCGGGGGGGCGAAGGGGAGGCGGAAGGGGAGGCGGAAGTTCCATCGGCGGAAGAAAAGGCGGAAGGGAAGGGGGAAGAGAACGCTGCCGCGGAAGGGGAGGCGGGGAAGTGGAGAGTGGTCGTGGGGGTGCGGGTCGTAATGGTCATGATGGGGCTTCGGCAGCTTGCAGTAATGTCGACGTCATGATCCGTAGCAGATGATGCGACATCATCTGCCAGATGTGCGGCCGTGGCGTGGCAGTAATAAGCCGAGCCGTCATAGCCGGCAACGGTACCAGCGTCGAGCTGAATCTCCAAAGTCCTTCTCGAATTCAGGGGCAGTGCCGCGTCGCGAAACTGCCCATGCCGATTCTCGCTGCCGCCGGGACTAGGGTTTGCGCCGCCCCGAGCTCGCCACGTCGCGGAGGAGCTGGTGGACGGCGTGCGATGCGGCACGGTAACATGATTCCGATTTTTTTACGAGATTGCTGCTACCGTTGGACGGCGTGGGATCGCTACTAGTAGTCGAAACAGGGAGAGACGGGGACTATGGCTTCAGCTGCGGCCGGCCTGCTGTGGGGGTGATTCGTATACCGACTCTGTGAAATAAGTCGTTCAGGAATTCGAGTTCGCGGGGAGTGTATTCATAGTAGCGATTGAATCGAGTGCAGCGGGTGAATGTCATGGAGAGAGATATCATTCGTCTTGATGTGAAACCGGGTCCCTCGAGGAGCTACAGTGTAATGCCATCAGCGGTAAGTTACTGCTTCTGAACCAAATTGTCAAATTATATAAATGCTATATATGTTTAGGCTGTAGTGGGGTAGCCAATATTGGGTACAGCCCCTTTTAGGGTTTCATACTTGTACCCAACTCTTTACTAGTTCAATCATTCCTGCCTAGACTTCTGACATGGTAATCAGAGCAGTAGGTCCGTAGGACCGTCTTTTTTTTCGGGCCCACCTACCGCCCTGTCTGGCTGCTGCCTGGTGTCTGCTGTCTGAGCTGTCTGCTGCTGCTTCGCGCGCGCAGACCTAATTCCCGCGCGCTGCCCCCTTTTGCCCCGCGTGTCGCCCTCCCTGCTCGCGTCGCGCCTCGGCAGCCGCGCCGTGCCCCGCGCACCGCCCGCGCAGCCCGCGTTGAGCCCGCGCAGCGCGCGCGCGGCCCGCAGCTACCCCGTGCACCGCTCGCGCAGCCCGCGCCGAGCCCGTGCAGCGCGCGCGCGGCCCGCAGCTGCCCCGCGCACCATCCGCGCAGCCCGCGCTGCGCTCTGACAGCCCGCGCGCGGCCCTCCGCAGCCACGCGCGCCGCCCTACCTGCTCGAGCCCCGCCTCTGCAGCCTGCGCGCGGCCTGCTGCTGCCCCTCGCGCTGCCTGAGCTGCCTGCGCCTTCTTTGCACGCCGCCCTTGCTGCTCGCGCCCTTTGCCTGCTGCCTGCTGCCTATTGCCTTTGTCTACTGCCTTTGCCTGCACTGCAATTATGGCGACACTTAATGTTCTCGCGTTTGAGCCTGACGGTCGCCCGATAGAGTTCACCACGTGGCTAGACGATCTCCAACTGTTTCTTCTGACTGATGCCAAAGACGGCGTTTCATTGTTCGATTACGCGTCTGGCACTGCCGTTGCTCCTGCTGACGATGCTACCGCTCTCGAGCGCTCACAGTGGCAGACTCGCGATGCTGCTGCACGCCTAGCTATTCGAAATCATCTGCCGATCACCGAGCGCGCGCATTTCAGCCAGCACAAAACTGCTAAGGAGTATGACGCTGTAGTTGCGCGCTACTCATCCCCGGCCACTGCAGCCCTAGGTCGGCTCATGCTACCCTACCTGTTCCCAGAACTGTCCTCGTTTACCACTGCTGAGGACCTCATTTCTCATCTTCGCGCTAGTGACACTCGCTTTCGTGCCGCCCTTCCAGCCGAGTTCTGCGCCGAGAACCCCCCCCCCCCCCCCCCCCCCCCCGATGTACTTCACTCTCTATTTCCTCATCACCCGCCTCCCTGACACTCTTAGCTCCGTCAGGGACCACCTCCTAGCCCTAGACCCTACCACTCTCACTGTCGCCGACTTCGAGAAGCACCTCCTAGCAGCAGAGAAGAACATCCTCGCTGTAGGTGCTGCTCGTGGTACTCCTCGCACTCCCCTCTTTGAGGGGTGCTCCCCCTCCCCTCTTACCCCCTCGTACGCCTCCGCAGCTGCTGCTGTCGACCTCCTTGGTGCTGAGAAGGTCGCAGCTGCTTCCGCTCCTAGTGGGAAGCGCAGCGGCTCCAGGGGAGGCAGGGGTGGCAGGGGTGGCGGACGTGGCGGTGGAGGGGGCGGTGGTGGAGGCGTCGGGGGAGGTGGAGGTGGTGGGGGTGGTCGTGGGGGTGGAGGTGGTGGTGGGGGCGGTGGTGGTGCCGGGAGCAGTGGCGGTGGCGGCGGCGGTGGTGGCGGAGGGGGGAGTGGTGGTGGCGGCGGTGGTGGGGGCTTGGTGAGACCAGTGGTGGCCAGGGGCAGCAGCAGCAGCAGCAGCAGCAGCCGCAGCAGTGTCAGCGCCAGACCCCCACTTCCCAGCAGCTTCTTGACTGGTATGCCGGGCGTGGGGCGTCTGGGGGTCCTGGTCGCTGCCCCTATATCATTCGCGCAGGTCCTCGAGCTGGTCGCCAGTGCACCGGCTTTCACACTGAATACCGCTGCTTCGCTCGGCTTAGCGACGCCTGGCGCGTCAAGTTTCCTGATGCTACTGAGTTCCCCAACTGGGCAGACCTGCTTAGGCGTGATGTACCTATCTTTGATCTTGACTATGATGCTATTCTTGCTGCCATGTATGCATTGACTGTTAGTGCTGAGGGTGACTGCTACTTGTGTGTGCCGCCTGACCCCGGTATAGCCCCAGGTATAGCGCCTGCAGCTCTAGGTGCTCGTGAGTCTGCTCTCCCTGGTACTGCGTCCGCACAGGCCTTGCACACCTTTACACTTGTCTCTGGTGCTTCCCGCTGTTTCTTTCGCGACAGCACCACAGTCACTCCCCTCCCTGCACCTGTCCCTGTCTCACTGGCTGACCCCTCTGGGGGCCCAGTGCTTGCACGGTCGACCACTGTGCTTCCGTGTCCGGCGGTCCCGTCTGGTGAGCTGTCTGGTCTCCACCTCCCCTCGTTCTCTACGAACCTGGTGAGAAACGCCGTCCTTCAGGATCATTGGGTTGACACCTTTACTCCTGGTTGAAAGCGTGTGGCGATCTGCACATGCTCCCGGACCGGCCGCCACCTGGCCACGTTCACACGTGCGCCTGGGTCCAGTCTGTACACCCTCACCACTGCGTCGCGCTCCACCCCTTTGTCTCCTCAGCTGTACGCGTCCGCTCAGGTAGCTACCCAGTGTGAGTGTCGCAGCCTGTCGCACCAGACTCTCTTGTGGCACCACCGCCTTGGTCACCCCTCCTTGCCTCGCCTTCGTGGCATGCACTCTCGCCGCCTGGTCTCTGGTCTTCCTAGGTCTCTGCCCTCCCTCCCTCCCTCGCCTGCGCCGCCCTGCATTCCTTGCGTCGAGGGGCGGCAGCGCGCCGCTCCTCACTCCTCCTCGTTCCCTCCCACAGAGGCTCCACTGCAGACTCTCCACCTGGACGTGTGGGGCCCAGCCCGCGTCCGTGGACAGGGCCACGAGCGGTACTTCCTGCTGGTAGTCGACGACTACACGCGTTACACCACGGTCTTCCCCTTGCAGCGCAAGGGGGAGGTCCCTGATGTTTTGATCCCCTGGATCCGCGCTGTTCGTCTCCAGCTCCACGAGCGGTTCCAGTCGGACTTTCCTGTCCTGCGTCTGCACTCTGACAGAGGTGGTGAGTTCTCCTCCGACCTCTTGCGAGCCTACTGTGAGGAGCACGGCATCCGCCAGACGTTCACGCTTCCGGCCTCTCCGCAGCAGAATGGGGTTGCTGAGCGCCGCATTGGCTTAGTCATGGAGGTCGCTCGTACCTCCATGATCCATGCGGCTGCCCCCCATTTTCTGTGGTCGTTTGCGGTCCGGTACGCCGCGCATCAGCTCAACCTCTGGCCCCGTGTCTCCGTGCCGGAGACTTCGCCCACACTGCGCTGGACGGGGGAGGTTGGCGATGCGTCGCGTTTCCGAGTCTGGGGTGCCCGTGCCTTTGTCCGCGATACCACTGCGGACAAGCTCTCCCCTCGCGCCATTCCCTGCGTCTTCCTTGGCTTGTCTTTCCGTCTCAGGACGTCACATTTGACGAGTCAGTCCCCTTTTACCGTCTCTTTCCCTACCGCACTGCCCCTTGCCCCCCCCCGCCGCTCTTTCTCGCTCTAGGTCCTCCCCAGGTAGATCCCCTCCCCGTGCCAGGTCCTGCTCCTTCAGGTGTCTCTCAGGTAGACCCTCCCGTGCCTGCGCCTGTTGAGGTCATTGGTGACTCAGGTCCTGCTGGGGGTGGTCCTGCTCGGGGTGCTGTCTCTGGGGGTGCTGAGCCTGGGGGTGCGGAGCCTGAGCGTGAGGAGCCTGGGGGTGCTGAGCCTGGGGGTACGGAGCCTGGGGGTGCTGAGTCTGAGCGTGAGGAGCGTGGAGGTGCTGAGCCTGAGCGTGAGGAGGCTGGAGGTACTACGCCTGGGGGTGCTGCGTCTGGGGGTGCTGCGCCTGAGCGTGAGGAGCCCGGGGGTGCTGAGTCTGGGGGTGCGGCGCCTGAGGGCACTGAGACTGCTGGTGCGCGGTCTCCTTGGAGCGACCGCCTTCGTCCGCGTGCACCTCTCTCCCCTCAGCAGCTGCACGAGTGGTGCGCTAGCCGTCAGGGTCGCGCTGCTGGAGCTCGAGGCTCTGCAGCTGGGAGTGGTGCTGGTACTTTGTCTACAGGAGGTGCTGGAGTCGCTGGTTCCGGAGGTGCTCGTACTGGAGGTACTGGAGCTGCTGAGGCTGGCGGTGCTGAGTCTGGGGGTGCCACTGCTGGAGTCCCTGGGGCTGGAGGTGCCGGTTCTGGGGGTGCTGCTGCTGGTGACGCTGGTACGGGAGGTGCTGGAGCTGGAGGTTCTGGAGCTGCTGGTGACGCTGGTACTGGAGGTGCTGGCGCTGGAGGTTCTGGGGCTGCTGGTGACGCTGGTACTGGAGGTGCTGGCGCTGGAGGTTCTGGAGTTGCTGGTGACACTGGTACTGGAGGTGCTGGCGCTGGAGGTTCTGGAGATGCTGGTGGTGTT